TAGACCCGACAGGTCGGAAGCATTTGGGCTCGGACGGTCGTTTCGGGTGAAAACGGGACATCATCAGAGCTGGATCCCATTTTTGCATTTAAGTCATCTCACGAGATTTATCAAAGCCCACTTTCCACTCGCATCATCTCGAATAAGAAGTTTGCATACAGACATTTAAAGACGATTTGGGCAATTTCTCCCCCCCACACACACACACACACAACACACGCACAACGGCATTATGAAGTCCATTTCACTGTGTTTAAGTAGGCGTTCGGTGGTCGCCAGTAACTTTTTACTATTCCAAAAGATGATGCAGGACCGGCTGTTGAAGTGGCCCACAAACGTGTGAATAGGCCTCCCGTGCCCACTCAATTAAACACAGTTTTGCCGGACGTCACATGTCGGGGTCGCATGGCAATGCACCGATCTACAAGCCCTACCGCTTCCGATGAGACCAACTTCCATTCACCTCTTCAAGCAAAATGAAAGGTACTCCAGCACGGATTTAATAACGGATGCTACATGCCATGCTTTGAGCCAGTTGGATGAGATTTATACACACATGCATACACATATACAGACTGACAGACAGACAGACACTCATTTATACATACTTGCTTACACACATACATGCATTCATACATGCATACATACATGTATACACACGTGGACACAAAAGCAAAATCGTATATTCATGCGCACATGACAACAGGCCAACCGACAAGCATGCACACACGAAAGACAAACACTCCCAGTTTCTCAAACACACAGAGGTCGTAGCCACAGACGATCGTGGATGCGAAAGCACCGCCTGTTGTAGAATGGAACTGAGTGACCCTCTGAGTCGAGGATGTCAGGACTCTGCTCGTCCGAAAGAGGTTGTGGGTTTGAGGTGAATTGCGAAGACACGAGCGCCTGTCGATGGGCAATATTCAACGAAATGTATGATTTAGGCAAGTCTGACTTTGTCGTGGAAAGCATGCTTGTCGAACAAACCCAGTTCGAGGGCCACTGGGGCTCGGATGGGGGGACAGGGCCGGGAGGAAAGCCACATTAACCTCCCAACTCGATTAATTGTGGCTAGTTCCACCAACAAACTCCAACTACACACCACCAATTGTGCGACCATTCAATGGCCAATCACTATGGCTGACAGACTTACTAATCGCCCGTATACCTTGCGACTAACCCACGCAACCGTCGCCAGCGTGTAGCTGGTTGCATCTGGGCCACCCTTCGGCGTTTGGACGAAATAAACTGGCACCCTCATACATCCGAGTCTTCTGCTGCCACGACAGACGGCACTTGATCCACTCCGCACGAGCCGAATGCCCCCATCTGCCAAAGCACACACAAGGCGTCCACTTTACACACACACAGGCATACTCACACACACACACATACACACATATATATGTATGTTATTTGTCTGTATATATATATATATATATATATGTGTGTGTGTGTGTGTGTGTGTGTGTGTTTAATGGATGTCCTGTCTGTCCTTAGCAGATGGGGGCATTCTGTATATA